CCCTTTATTATTATTATTATTATTATTTTAAATAAAATGCTGAAGTGGTAGGTAGATGCAAGATAAAGGTAGAAAACATAGTTTAGTGTTGTAAGAGAGCAAATGTAGATGATCAGGTGTGTGCCTGTAGACTATGTTAATCCAAGCTAGACAAGGGCAGTAATACATCCACGGACAGCACATTCTTTTTAATAGCTTGCATAGTATTCTTTTATGTAGATGCACTCTAATTTGTTTACTTAATCCTCCAATGAAGGATGCTCAAAATTATTTCCATTTTGTTCCTATTTTAACCAATGCTACAATGAAAATCCTTACAAACTTATAACCTTGCATATTTGTGTAAATATATTCCCAAGATACTTTTCTAGCTGTAGAATTTCTGAATTAAAGAGGCTGCATTTAAAATTTTGATGCTACCAAATTGTTCTCTAAAAATGTTGCACCTATACATATTCCCTCAAGAGTGTATAAAAGTGCCTGCTCCTGCCAAACCCTCACCAACAGTGAGTTTACAAGTTTTACTGATCTGGTAAGTGAAAAACGGTATCTCATTGTTTCATTTCTTTAATTATGAGTGAGGTTGTACCTCATATATGTTCATATCACTGGAGTAGTTTGTGTATATTTTAAAGCCTATTTTTCATATCTTTTTCAAATACTGATATTAAATGTAATTTTATAATTTCAAAAAAATAAATAACAATTTAATTGCTTAAAAACATTTGGGATGGAAACCAATTGTTTCAATAATAAAACATACAAGGACCAACTGAAACAGGATGTACTGCACATAGTACCTTCATCGTAGTAAAAAAGTTTCATGGTCAAACAAACATCATTAGGTAAAGGTCCCAAATTTTGCATTAGGATATAAATCTTGCGAATGAGGAGAATGCTTGCTTTCTTGATGTCAGCAGATGACATATTAGATTCACTGCTTTGGTTTTTACTAGAAGAGAATCACACATTAATTTTTGTGACACCCATGGCTTCTAGAAACATAGCCTCACATTTTATAATTTGAGATTCTTATTCCGATTATCGCATTAAGTTGAAAGTTACCATAAAATGTACTGTCACTGTTATAAAATATTTAATATCACTAATATCACAATATCATTATTATAAACAAATACTTTTATATAAATTAAATTAATATTCATTTTATATAAGATGTTTAAAGGAAACATATGATGAGTTTTAAGTATATTTCTAATCACTCAAATATGCAATAGCTTTCCTACTCCTTGATTCTGTTTCACAATTAAAATAGTATATAGCCACAGAATTCCAGCTTGCAAATACTTCAAGGGTATTTTTGTATAGTCACACTTTGATGGATAATTGCAGATGACTGAGAAGTTTCAGAATTAATCCTGAAATCTGGCTTTATAGTATTAATATGAGTAGGTAGTAATCTGTAATACAAAAAGAAAACTATAGAAAAAATTACCTTATGAAGTCCATGATTGGTCCATTAGTGGTGTACTTGAATTTAAATTGGTAACATTCTGAAATTGTCTTAAATAGAAACATTGCAGTTATGTATGTGATGAACAGAGTATTGGCAACCAAGTATTGAGTTATGACTCAACATTTATTTAATTTTTTTTTCTGCCATGTTAACGCCTATTGGTCCTTTGAAACTTTCGAGTTCTAATAGTCAATTCCCATGGTTTGGGATTGGAGCTTCATTCTTGGAGAGATATTTATTCCCCAATCACTGCAATGTATGTTATATATACCAGAGGGAAATAACTCCTTAGCTGGTAGGTAAGGGAGGCAGCATATCTTTTACTCAAGCAAAATGGCTTAAGCAATGGGCTTAAATGATTGCTATATGTACTGTAACCACAAGAAAGTCATTTAAACCTTCTATGCCTCAGTTTCCCCAGCCAATAAAAGGAGTTGAAAATAGTACCTATCTCATTGGTGGCTGTGAATACTTATCAAACGAAGTAATTTATACAGAGCTGTTAATAAAGTGCCTGGCACACCAAGCACTCAATAAATGTTAGAGCATCAGTAAGGTTGCTCTTTTACTGAAAGAAAAAAATGTGTAACTATAAAATATCTGAAAGTAAATGAACATTTTCCAATCAATCAACTAATTTATAGCCTGATTTTTTTGTCATCATGGACATATGTTATGCATTAATTGCAGGCATGAGTAACAAAGATACATTTCCCACCCTAATGAAGCTCTAATACTTTAATTGCCTTCTTTATATTTAAGTGCTCCTAAAGAGATGGGGATCAGCTAGCTTTCTTTTTCAAAAATCTCCTTCTTCATGACTGAATGAAACACTGTATTGTAACAGCTACAGTGTAATGATAAGCACCCAGATCATGAACTAGCCTTTTCAGGTCCAAATTCTGGTTCTACCCCTGGTTACCTTAGGCAAGAAACCTTGTATCTAGGTTTCCTTATCTATAAAGTAGAATAATAATGGTAGTTACCTCATGAAGGTTGTGATGTACAAATAAGATAACACATACAAAGCCCCAAAGAACAGAGCCTAAAAGAACAGTAAGCACTCAATACATTTTCCCCCTTTGTTTCTTGTGTTATGGTTTTCCCTTTCATATCCTGTCATGCCTTCTTTTCTTTATCAGAGGAATGGGTGGATGTGACAGGACTGGGATGAATACTCAAAGTTTAAGGATGAGTATTTTATTTTTCTCAAACTCAACCTCTTTCATAATTGTGGAAAAATAATATAGTAAAGAACCAGAGTCAGAAGAATCACATTATTTCTAACAATTTGTGGCTTTGTGGGCTGGGATCAGTGGTCACATCATCTCTCTTGGAGTAAGTATATTAATCTGTTTAAAGTTAATACAAGCCCTGTCTTACTTCATAATAGTCTTTATGAGGTGCAAATGTGAAAATATATGTGAACATGCATTGATTAAAGCACAATTAAAAGCATAAGATATTATATCATAATTTTATGTTATTTTTAGATATTAGAAACATGTTTCTTTACTAACTTAAGCATACTTACTTGAGGATCTTCTGGATTGGTGTATACCTATTTAAAAATAATTTACAATTGAGTTATGTAAGGCTAAGTGTTCAAGGAGAACTAAATTGGATGTTTAGACTAAACTATTAAATGAACTCAGAAAAAAAAATAGAAAATGTTGCTTTTTTTCCTTTGAATAAATCAGTTGTTTGAATAAAGTGACATAATTGATAGTTTTAGTGTTATTTAATTAAGCTAGGCTGAATTTCACCGTCTTTAAAAAAGAATATAAAATTTAAAAATACTCACAGCTAGAACAACCATCCTTAGCTGAAATATAATAAAGAACAAAAATCTTACTTTTTTATACTATATTTTTTCATGATGGATCATAAAAATTCTTTGTCCTATTTCAACATTTATTCCTAATAAGAAATAATCTTGCAGAAAATAGATTTTATGTGATGCATATAAAGCAATGCCTTAGATATCCTTCTCTATTCCCCAAAATATCTTTTTCTAGTTGACTTACTGAATGAAAGTTGAAATTCATGTCATTGACTTATAAAGGAAAACAGGGCGTTACTGCCAGTTACAAGGAAAATATATATTGTGAAATAGCATATTAAATCTTAACAATGTGAGAACTAATTTTGAAAAAAGAAAAAGTAGATAGTTCAGGGTACTTCTCACTTAAAGGAAGAGGCTTTAGAAACTGTAAGGAATAGAAAATCACTGAAGTCATTCACTCAAGTTATCTGTGAACAATCTGGATCATCCCCCTTGATTTGGATCTTTTCCTTATTCTCCACAACCAATGCACCAACAAATCTGGTTAAGTTCTCCTGCCAAATATGTCCTGAATCTTTTCTTCAGTTTTTTCTTCCTCTGCCACCCTGGTCTAAACCACCATTATTTTTACCCATTCTGCAGTAATGGTTCACTATTCTCCTTAATTCCAATTTTATTCTTCTTCTATAGTATATTCTCTAAATAGCAGCCAGAGTGATTTTTTTAAATTTAAAATATAAATCAAATGATGTTACATTTCTATTCAGAACCTTCAGATGGCTGTTATTTGCACCTAAAATAAAATTTAAACTCCTTGTCTGCACAGCCCTGAATGCTCTGGCCCTGCCCATCTCCCTAGCCTCATTCCTCTGTCCCACACTGATCATCACACTCCAAACATACTGAGATTCTTTTTTTCCTTGAACGCTTCCAAACTCCCCTCCAACTCTTTGCATTTATTGCGGTGCAAAGTCAATGCCTGGCTGGTTTCTTAATATTTAAGTCTTAACTTCTTCAGAGAAGCTCCTCTGCCCACCCTATCTAAAGTTACCCCACCTCTTCATTTAGCACATTCTTTCTCTAAAAATTTTAATGGTACTTAGCACTATTGGAAACAATCTGATTTACTTGTTTTATTTCCCACTATAAAGGGATCATCTTTGTCTTGTTGACCACTGTTGGCCTACCCAGCTTCTACCTAGAATATGTGCCTAACACATAGCAGGCACTCAATATTTTATTAAATACCGTACTGAGGGAAGTTAGTAACCATGGATAAAACTTTATCTTTTGCACAATTTTGTTTAGGGCTAGACTTATATATATGTTGATATAAACATATTTTTATACATGTTGACATAAACATGCTAAGTATACAAAAAGGGTTATAGTCTATAGTAAAATCTTAATTGAAATTTCACTGATTCAGATTTGTGACAATTTAACCTAGACTATATGGAAATTTATTTTTTAACTTCTAATATAAACAAGATTGTAGAAGGAATATGAAACTAACAAATGAACTAATTTAAGACTTTTTAATTCATTAAGTTTTTGTAAGTTAACATGTATTGTTAATATAAATAAGTGTTAACGATTAACCAAAAGTGGTTCAGCAAAATTTGTTACGTATTGGTTCTATTAGCTTAAATGAGTTGAATGCTAGTTTTTAAAATATTCACATGTTCAGACATTTCAGCAACTTGGACTGGCCTATGCCCAAGTTAGTTTAAATTAATGTTTTACTGCATGATAACTGCTGTTACATTTGTAGAATAAAAACTGTAGAAGAAAAGGATAAATAGATATTGACTTACATATTTTTTCTGTAAAGCATCATAGCATCCTAGCATCCTAAAAACAATCAAGGATTCATTTTTAGACTGAATGCACATCCAGAAAATAGTTATTTTAATAAGTCTATATTTCTCATTAGTAAACAATATAAAGTTTTATTAAAGCTCTCTTATTAACTAGCTTAAAATAATAAAACAATGTGGCAGAAATATAAAACATGCTGATATAATAAAACAAACAAGGTGGTAGAAATATAAAACATGCTGGTAGGAACAGAAGGGAAGATATAAAATATCTGACAGCGATTTCTAGGGAACAATAATAGGAAAATGAAGGCTGCTCACCTGGAGCATGAAATAAAAGAAAATTTTAACACAAAAATCCAAAGGTTGCAAAAATGGTATCCATTGTTAAAGGGGGAATCACAAAATTGGGTTAAACACTGAAAGGTTTCCAAAGTACAAAAAAAATGTGATTTAAGAAAGAAATTATTTTCTATCATTAGGTATTCTTTTACTTACCACTTCACCAACTGTGTAGACCCTGGACAATTTTTATCTTCTCTCAGAATTTTGACACAAAGATCTGAACACAAAAATGATGATATACTTAATATTGGTCAAGAACTAGATATCTGAATGAAGATTATTTTCTTCAATTGTTATTACAAGTATATTATTAATGGCAATGAACTTCCAGATGATTGTTATTAACATAATGAAAGGAAGAAAGGCTATGTGGAAATTGATAATCTTTTCACCTTTATTATAAAATGGCATTATAATGATTAGGATGCATGTTGATGGGTAGAAAAAATTACATTTTTTAAAGCTATGGAATATTTAGAGTTAGATATTATGTTTTCATGCCATCATCTTAGAATATTTGCTATGGACCTTTATTCCAGTAAAATACTTATAAAAGGCCAAGAAGTTACCTGGCTATCAGGGAGAGAGCCCTGCAAGGAAGCAACGTGTAAAAAAGGACTAAGATCTCTCAGTCTCAGGTTCCTTATCTGATAATATCTAACTCATAGGCCTATAATATGAATGAATAAGATATCATATATTACAGTGCTTAACATACTCCCCAGCACATAGTTGGTGCACAATATTAGGTACATATTATATGCTGGGCAATAAGTTATTACAGTATAAACAGGCTGTCTTATTTTTACTCCCTTAAAATAACACAAAAACATATACTACCAATGTACAAAGCTATAAATAACACACTCATTATCTATTTACTTCATCAGTATAAGAACACTGTCAGGTAAAAGTATACTTGAGAAACTGAGGAAAAATTTTATGGTTAAGTGCTTTCGATGGTACCGAGTATATATATATATGTATTTTTTATTTTGGTATCATTAATATATAATTACATGAGCAACATTATGGTTACTAGACTCCCCCTATTATCTAGTCCTCACCATCTACCCCATTACAGTCACTGTCCATCAGCATAGTAAGATGCTATAGAATCACTGCTTGTCTTCTCTGTGTTATACTGCCTTCCCTGTGCCCCACCCTCTACATTATATGTGCTAATCTTAATGCCCCTTTTTCCCCCTTATCTCTCCCTTCCCACTACTGAATATATTTTTAAAAACCACTTAAGAGTCCACTCAAAAGCTTGTACATGCATGTGGCATTATTTATAACAGCCAAAAAGTGGAAACAATTCAAATGTTTATCAACTGATGAATGGATAAAATAAAATGTGGTATATACATATAATGGAATATTATTCAGCAATAAAAGAGAATGAAGAATTAGTCCATGCTACAATATGGATGAAATTTGAAAACATTATGCTAAGTTAAAGAAGCCAATAACAATGGACCACAAATTATATGATTACATTTATATGAAATGTCTAGTATAGCAAATCCATAGAGATAGAAAGTTGATTGGTGGTTGCCTAGCAATGGGGTGACTGGGGAAGTGGAAAGAGGGACTTGATATGGGGTTTTCTTTTGGAGTGATGAAATGTTCTAAAATTGTCATGATGGTTGCACAACTCTTTGAATATACTAAAAATCACTGAATTGTGCACTTTAAATGAGTGGATTGTCAGTATATGAATTATGTATCTCAATAAAGTTATTAAAAAACAAAATCTCTAAATCAAAAATTACAGTTTTAGTGCAATCCTAAATAAAAATAACATGTTTAAAGGAAAAAGTTTTAAAATAAACATATTACCATCTAGATATCTTGTTCCATAAGCACATTCTGGAAATATTCCTCTCAAATACGTGATGCAGGATACTGAAACTGCTAGGAGCCTCTTCACTAATACTAAAGACTGCTGCTCAGTTGATATCTTATGGGGAAATATCAACGCACTCTAAACTCAACGGAAATCAAAACATTTCATTTAGATTTATTAAAAATACCAATGCACTGCAAATTCAAAGGAAATTTAAACATTTTATCTAAATTTATTTTTTTAAAGTCTTCCTGAGCTTAAAATAGATCTAATTTTGCATAAATATGGTACGTTCCCAAAGAATTTCTAACCATAATGGTTAGTAATACCCAGAAAGTTAGTGTGGCTTCTAAGATAATGAGGGTAATTCCAATGTACCAACCTAAAAGTAACATGCAAAAAGTGATTAAGAAACATGTTAAAAATTCCCTTGAAGGTTGTCTGTAAATACATAATCCATGGACAAATAAACACTAATTTTCTCTTTAGTCACTGACTAGGTTTAATACAGGCTACTGTAATGCAAGATCTGTGCAAAGATGACAATTTTATCTGTGTCTGCGGGGCATGGACATTCATTTTCTAGTACTAAGTTAATTAAATCATAATTAATTAATACCTAATGTAAATTGAACTTAAACCAGTAGATTTAATGCAGTGCATCAAACATCCAATACAACTCTCTCTGAATTTGAAAGTTTACCAAGTATCTTCACTTTTTAAAATACGGTGTTTACTGATATCATTGAATCCTCAAACAGCTTCTAATTTTCAAATATAAAAATAGTTGAGATTTCAAGAAACAATAAGATAAGCTAATTAAAATATATTAAAATACAAGAAATCATACCGTGGAAGTTCTTTGCAGTTGTGCAGTGGCCATCCTCTGGTAAAGTTATTTTCTTTAATTCAACCTATGACACAAATACAAGCTTTAACTTCAGATATAATCTAATATTCCAGTTTATTATATGTAATGTCAAGAAGGGCTTTACATGAGTAAAAATAAATTTTATGTGAATATTTTTATGTAAATAAATTTTATTTAAGTAAATTACTTCACAGCATTCAAGCCCTGGCAACATCGCGCAGGTGTTAGGTAATGAAAAACACTCCCTACCAAACCCTCTAAAATAATTTTTGTTTTAAATTTGTGGTTTCAAAATATCGGATCAGGCAACTTTCCTTCACTGAACTTTAGCATGACTCTGGATATAACATTTTCGTACTCCGTTGAACAACCATAGAAGGGTAACCAAAAATATTCTAGGATTTTTTTGGACTGATCCTAATTTCTCAATTATAACTTGCTATTTTGACGTAAGTTTCAATTTTTTTGGTACCAGTTTCATTTTTCTTAATCAGACAATTGAATTAAAATTATTCACAGAAAAGTCTATTTACTGTAAGTGTTCAACTTTAGCCTTATAAGGCCTGGACTAGACACCAGAGTTAACCTCATCTTGAGACCGTTTGTGACAAGTTAAGCAGGTATACATCTATTTCCCCGAATATTTCACCATTAAGACTTTAAGAAACTTAAAAGTAGGCAGGAGGTGACAGAAAAAGAGATCAAAAAGTAAAAAAACAAAAACCAAAGAAACAGAAAAGAAGAAAGAATTGTATATTTATAAATATTACGCAACGTCTGAGGGCCGGCGCCAGTAACCAGCAGAACCGCGAGAAGTGATGCTTTCTTTGGCTGATGCGCATGCGCCTTCCTTCAACGGTTGCGGGCAGAAGCGCGACCGTAGTCTTTTGACTCCGGTCCAGGTCACCTTTCCCGCCTGGAGCAGCGCAAGGCACGCTGGGAACCCCAAGAGCCTGAAGGCCAAGTCTTGGCCAGAAAAACCGGATGTCAGCAAGGGAAGATGGCATAATTACATGCGCAAAGCCTTTCCGATATAAATCCCAATGTACAGTGACGAAGAGGGTTCTCAACTGTCATTTAATCAATCATATTGATTTTTTATTATTTTCTAATTTGCGGATTTTCTTACTTTATAGCATTCCCACTTTATAGTCTCCTGTATCTTCAGGAAACCAGTGGCTGCAGCAGTCTCCTACTTAGGCATTTCTACTGTGCTATGTCTCGGGGACTGTAGACAGCTGAATGTAAGCAGTGGCTGATTTAGAAACAAAATAATACAATCAGCTGGTAGCTAGTTGAAGATTGTCTAGTAGTACAAGCTTCTTAGTTTATAGACTGTTATGAACCCAAATAAGTTGTGTTAATAGTGGAAACATAACAATTATCCATAAACTTGGATATGTCTACATTCTGTTGAAAAACACCACCCCAGATATGAAAAGATTTGCCCAGAGGTAATTAGAGAAGACTAGAACACTGTTTTCAGGGTCAGAAATAGTTTTTGTTTTTTTTATTAAGGTATTATTGATATACACTCTTATGAAGGTTTCACATGAAAAAACAATGTGGTTACTACATTTACCCATATTACCAAGTCCTCACCCATACCCCAATGCAGTCAGTGTCCATCAGTGTAGTAAAATGGCACAGACCCACTGTGTGCCTTCTCTGTACTACACTGTTCTCCTGTGATCCCCCACACCATGTGTACTAAACATAATATCCCTCAGTCTCCTTCTCCCTCCCTCCCCACCCGGCCTCCCACACCCCCCCCCTTTGGTAACCACCAGGTCCTTCTTGGAGTCTGTGAGTCTGCTGTTATTTTGTTCTTTCAGTTTTGCTTAATTGTTATACTCGACAAATGAGGGAAATCATTTGGCACTTGTCTTTCTCCACCTGGCTTATTTCACTGAGCATAATATCCTCCAGCTCACCCACGTTGTTGCAAATGGTAGGATTTGTTTCTTTCTTATGGCTGAATAGTATTCCACTGTGTATATGTATCACTTCTTTATCCATTCATCTACTGCTGGACACTTAGGTTGCTTCCATTTCTTGGCTATTGTAAAAAGTGCTGCAATAAACATAGGGGTGCATATGTCTTTTTGAATCTGACAAGTTTTATTCTTTGGGTAAATTCTAAAAAGTGGGATTCCCGGGTCAAATGGTATTTCTATTTCTAGTTTTTTGAGGAACCTCCATATCACTTTCCACAATGGTTGAACTAGCTTACATTCCCACCAGCAGTGTAGGAGGGTTTCCCTTTCTTTGCATCCTGGCCAGCATTTGTTGTTCTTAGTCTTTTCAGTGCTGGCCATCCTTACTCGTTTGAGGTGATATCTCATTGCGGTTTTAATTTGCATTTCCCTGATAATTAATGATGTGGAGCATCTTTCCATATGTCTGTTGGCCATCTGAATTTCTTCTTTGGAGAACTGTCTCTTCATATCCTCTGCCCATTTAAAAAAATTTGGTATCATTAATTTACAATTACGTGAGGAACATTATGTTTACTAGACACTCCCCTTCACCAAGTCCCCCCCACAACACCCATTACAGTCCCTGTCCATCAGCCTAGTAAGATGCTGTAGAATCACTACTTGTCTTCTCTGTGTTGCACAGCCCTTCCCATGCCTCCCCCCACATTATACATGCTAATCTTAATGGACCCTTTCTCCCCCACCCCCTTACCCTTCCCTTCCCACCCATTCTCCCCAGTCCCTTTCCCTTTGGTACCTGTTAGTCCATTCTTGGGTTCTGTGAGTCTGCTGCTGTTTTCTTCCTTCAGTTTTGTCTTTGTTCTTATACTCCACAGATGAGTGAAATCGTTTGATACTTGTCTTTCTCTGCCCTGGCTTATTTCACTGAGCATAATACCCTCTAGCTCCATCCATGTTGTTGCAAATGATAGGATTTGTTTTCTTCTTATGGCTGAATAATATTCCATTGTACATATGTACCACATCTTCTTTATCCATTCATCTACCGATGGACACTTAACGTTGCTTCCATTTCTTGGCGATTGTAAATAGTGCTGCGATAAACAAAGGGGTGCATCTGTCTTTTTCAAACTGGGCTGCTGCATTCTTAGGGCAAATTCCTAGAAGTGGAATTCCTAGGTCAAATGGTATTTCTATTTTGAGCTTTTTGAGGAACCTCCATACTGCTTTCCACAGTGGTTGAGCTAATTTACATCCCCACCAGCAGTTCCCCTTTCTCCACATCCTCACCAACATTTGCTGTTGTTTGTCTTTTGGATGGTGGCAATCCTTACTGGTGTGAGGTGATATCTCATTGTGGTTTTAATTTGGATTTCTCTGATGACTAGCAATGTGGAGCATCTTTTCATGTGTCTGTTCGCCATCTGAATTTCTTCTTTGGAGAAGTGTCTGTTCAGCTCCTCTGCCGATTTTTTAATTGGATTATTTGATTTTTGTTTGTTGAGGCATGTGAACTTTATATATTTTGGATGTTAACCCCTTGTCAGATATGTAATTTACAAATATATTCTCCCATACTGTAGGATGACTTTTTGTTCTGTTGATGGTGTCCTTTGCCATACAGAAACTTTCTAGTGTGATGTAGTCCTGTGAGTTCATTTTTGCTTTTGCTTCTCTTGCTCAAGGACATGCGTTCAGGAAGAAGTTGCTCATGCTTATATTCAGAAGATTTTTGCCTATGTTGTCTTCTAAGACTTTTAGGGTTTCATGATTTACATTCAGGACTGATCTATTTAGAGCTTACTTTTCTATATGGGGATAGACAATCCAGTTTCATTCTCTTGCATGTAGCTGTCCAGTTTTGCCAACACTAGCTGTTGAAGAGGCTTTTCCCCAGTCTATATCCGTGGCTCCTTAATCCGTTGTTCCCAGTCTTAATTGACCATATATGGTTGGGTTTATATCAGGGCTCTCTAGTCTGTTCCATTGTTCTATTGGTCTGTTCTTGTGTCAGTACCAAATTCTCTTGATTACTGTGGCTTTGTAGTAGAGCATGAAGTTGGGGAGCATAATTCATCCTGCTTTATTCTTCCTTCTCAGGATTGCTTTGGATATTTGAGATATTTTGTGGTTTCATATGAATTTTGTAATGATTTCTAGTTCGTTGAAGAATGCTGTTGTTATTTTGATAGGAATTCCATTGAATCTGTAGATTGCTTTAGGTAGGATGGCCATTTGACAATATTACTTCTTTTCATCCATTAGCACTGGATGTGTTTCCATTTATTGGTGTCTTCTTTAATTTCTCTCATGAGTGTCTTGTAGTTTTCAGAGTATAGGTCTTTCACGTCCTTGGTTAGGTTTATTCCTAGGCATTTTATTCTTTTTAATGCAACTGTGAATGGAATTGTTTTCCTGATTTCTCTCTCTGCTACTTCATTGTTAGTGTATAGGAATGCCACAGATTTCTGCATATTAATTTTGTATCCTGCAACTGTTGAATTCAGATATTAGATCTAGTAGTTTCGGAGTGGATTCTTTTGGGCTTTTATGTACAATATCATGTCATCTGCAAACAGGGACAGTTTAACTTCTTCCTTACCAATCTGGATGCCTTCTATTTCTTTGTGTTGTCTGATTGCCGTGGCTAGGACCTCCAGTACTATCTTGAATAGAAGTGGGGAGAGTGGGCATCCTTGTCTTGTTCCCAGTCTTAAAGAAGAAGCTTTCAGCTTCTCGCTGTTAAGTATGATGTTGGCTGTGGGTTTGTCAAATATGGCCTTTGTTATGTTGAGGCACTTGCCCTCTATACCCATTTTGTTGAGAGTTTTTATCATGAATGGATGTTGAATTTTGTGAAATACTTTTTCAGCCTCTATGGAGATGATCATGTGGTTTTTGTCCTTTTTGTTAATGTGGTGGATGATGTTGATGGTTTTTCAAATGGTGTGCCATCCTTGCATCCCTGGAATAAATCCTACTTGATCATGATGGATGATCTTTTTGATGTATTTTTGAATTCTGTTTGCTAATATTTTGTTGAGTATTTTTGCATCTATGTTCATCAGGGGTACTGGCCTGTAATTTTCTTTTTTTGTGGTATCTTTGCCTAGTTTTGGTATTAGAGTGATGCTGG